TTTTTTTTTTTTTTTTTTTTTTTTTTTTTGTACCAAGGATCAGATTTGGGACCTTGTGCTTTCAAGGCAGGCATCAGCAGCACCACTGAGCTAAATCCCTGGCCCCTTTTTCTTTTTTATTTTGAGATAGAGTCTCACTTAGTCACTAAACTGTGTTCTCCTGCCTCAGCCTCCCGGAGTGCTGGGATGACAGGTGTGCACCACCACACCCAGCTGAAGATTTCTTTTTATTAGTTTTTTTTTAAATCTACAAAAAGAAAAGTATCAAGCCAGCAATGGTGAGGCGCACGAGGTCAAGCAGAGGTAGCCAGCCTAGCCCTGGAGTGACCTAAGCATCTTCTGTCTCTGGTCACCTGTGACCAACCCGCACCGACCTTCTGGGGCTGGGTTCCCTCATGCCTTTCCTGCAGGTCTCTGCCACTCAGAGCTCTCGTATGAGCACATGTTCCTCCCTTCTGCAGCCCGTACTCTGTGCAGGGTAGAAAGTGAAACCGATTGCTGCCCCAGAACTGCAGAGAGCCTGGCAGCATCCCCAGCTGGAGATAGCGCCTCACTCTCTCTTGGGAGGTGCCCCAGGCAAGGAGGCAAGCACTCTGTCCAGGGAGGCTCAGGTCACCTCTGTGCTTGCCCAGGGCTGTGATGACTTGGGGAGCCCGGGGGCTCTTGCCCTTCACCCTGCCTGTGAGAGCCCCCGGGGACACTCCTATTCCTTCCAGGCCCACACTGCATTGGGTACGGCCCCACCCTGCGGCTCTGGACTTCTCCAGGGACAATCGAAGTCCACCTGCACCTCTGGGCACCGCCAGGAAGCCTGAGCCCCGCAGCCCAGGCCTCGCTCTCCCTCAAAGAGGATTCGAAGGCGGAAGGAAACCAAGGACAACCACACATAACACCAGCCCCCCTCATGCCCCGCTGCGCCTCCAGGATGCCCCCTGTGCTGGAGCATGCCGGAGGGCTGGCCCCTCTGATTCCTGGGGAGCAGGGTCTCATCTAGGCTCCTTCTCCACAGGACACTACATGGACACCGTCCAGGAGCTTCGTGCTTCTTAACTGACTCACTGATTCCATGCAGGCAGAAATGAGGGCCCAGGAGCCTGGCTGACAATGTGCAGACTCTGTCCTGAGTGCCCCCCACCCCACACAGGCACAGGGAACCCCTTCAAGGGCCCCACTTTCCAGAGGATGCAGGGCCTGGCCCGCATGCGTGTCCCCACAATGCCTCCCGCACACTTCAGACACAGATCCCGCCCTGGGCCCTCCTCCGCCGCTGTACCACACACCAGCAGGGCCTTGGGAGTGCATATCCCTCCCCACTCCCTGCCCTGAGCAGCAGGGACAGGGTTGCCTGGGGCTGCCTGAGTGAGCAGGCAAGCGAGCTGGTGTCGCTTCTGCAAATGGGCTTCTCCTGTGAGCTCCGGCCGTTGCTCACACCGACAGGCTGTTTACACCGCCTCCGTGTCAGCTGATGCCACTCCTGAGTGCTTGCGCTGAGTGCTCTCGCTGTTTGCTTTCAGCCGCGTCCATGGAGACCATCGCAGAGGACAGCAGACAGCTCCATCCTGCTGGCCGAGCGAGGCCGCCCCTCCCCACACAGAGGGAAGTGGCCAGGATGCAGCCAGGGCGATGAGGGCAGTGTCCTCACTCTCACTGGGCGGACTGAGCCATGGGGCCCGGCCTGGTGGATCCGGAGCGTTGCCTGCCCACCTCTGCGCTCCCCCTGCCTGCAGGACCTGCACCTGGGGAACTGTGTCCCTCCACAGGCCGCCCATGCACCAGCGGCTCCACCTTCGGAGGGGCCCAGCCCAGCCGCCCCTGCTCGTGTGTCCACGGTCAGAGTTCAGGTACAGGAGAGAGGTCACAGCCCCCATCGGCCCCTAACCAGCCAGCCGGGTCCACACAGTGAGCAGCATGGACATCCAGCCGGCAGGCTCCTCAGAGCCCCGTGCAGCCCCAGCCTCCAGCCATGGCCCTGCGCTTGAGCTCTCACTGTCATCTTCACTGGCTCCCACGTTAGAATGAGCCCTGAGTCCACCTCCTGCCTGCAGCCCCTGCCTCTCCCTGCAGGTCTGCCCGTGTGGCCAGACATCAGAGACCCCCATGGAGACGGAAGGTGACCAGCTCATGGCTCCCGCGCTCCACAGGTGTCGGCAGCAGAGAGAACCAGAGCCGGTGCTGCGGAGAAGGCCCGCTCCTGTGTCCCATCACCCAGGGATGCTAAGGAACCGCCAGTCCCTCCGTAGATTCTCCTGCTGAGGTCAGAGCCAGCCCCACTGGCCCTGTGCACTGGAGACCCCGCCTCCCACACACGTGCCTCCAGCTGCTACACTCCCTGCGCTCGCCAAGGCCCACGGTCTGAGCACCGGCCAAGCCCGGACGCCCAGCAAGGAGGACCCACAGCGCCTTCCTCGTGAGACACTGTACTGCAGCAGAGCTGCCCCTGGCCCCTGCCACCCGCTGCTCTGGGAGGCAAGGACAGGAAAGAGGGTTCTCGGCACAATTGGGCACAGCAGAGGGGCTGGGGGAGGTCCCGCCCTGCCTGCCTCCCTCAGCAGGAGGACCTTGCTGCTGAGCATCCACGCAGCAAAGACGGCCCCGCCCCGCTCCAGCCTGGAGCCCTAAGGCCCAGTTTCCCGTCCTGCCGCCCACTCAGAGACACACACTGGCAGGGTCCCATGCCAGGTGCCCACAGAGACCCCACCCTCAACAAATGAGATGAACAAATAAGAATCTCAAGTTGTTAGCCGAGCATGCTGGGGCCCACCTGTAATCCCAGTACTCAGGAGGCTGAGGCAGGAGGATCACTGTGAGTTTGAGACCAGCCTGGGCTACATAGTGAGTTCCAGGTCAGTCTCAACTACATAATGAGACCCTGTCTCAAAAAAAAAACAAAAAGAATCTCAAGTTGTGCCCAGTCTCAGTGGGGCATGCTGGTCACTCCAGCACTCTGGGAGGCTGAAGCCCAGCCTGGGCAACATGCTGAGACCTTGCCTCAAAATGAAAAATAAAAAGGCCCTGGGTTCAATCTCCAGTGCCAAAAGTAAAACTCGCAGGCCTCGTGCTCCAAGCGAGCTGATTGGCTGAGAAGGTGCTGGAGTGGAGCAGCCAAGACAGGGCTCAGGAGGTTTGGGCTGAGAAGACAGAAAGGAGGCAGAGGGGCAGGAGAGGAGCAGAGCCAGGGGTGACAGCGGGGTGACAAGAAGCTGAGGAAGCGGGTGTGGCACAGAGCAGAGCTGCCAGAGGACAGAGACAGGGACGGGGTTGGAAGGCAGGTATAGGGTCAACGACAGGGATGGGGGAGAGGGACAGGGACAACGAGGGACAGGCGTGCAGGGACAGGGACTGTCAGGTGACCCGGTCCCTGTGGCTGAGCTTTGGCACCGGAGTGGAAGAGGGGAGCCAGGAGGACGTGGAGGTGACCTGACCCTCTGTGGCCAGGGAGGAGGCTGGGGGCGTTTCTAGCAGGGTCCCGGGCAGGGTCATCCCGAGACCCACCCTGGGCCCATCTGGAGAACGCACAGTGTGAAAAGTCTCCGGGAGGGGAATGAGGGATGAGGGGCAGCTGGGACTCGGTCTCCAGCAGGGCAGGAAGAGGAGGTGACGGGCACGGCACACTGGCAGGGAGGTGCAGGGCTGTGGGCCTGTCCTGCGTATAGATGGCAGCCGCTCAGACAGCTCCTCACTCATGGCGTGGGCGCCCTCGCTGCAAGGGGCCCCGCCCTGGCCCGACTCCTTGAGATCCCCGTGCTGGAAGCCAGGCCACCCTCACCGGGCACTGCGGGCTCTGGGCCCACTGAGCTGCGCTGATGCTGAAACCCAGGAGGGCGGCATTAGGTGGGTGCAGGGTCACCCAGTCCTGAGCTATGCAGGGATCAGGGACAGAGAGCCAGGTGTCCTGCTGCAACCAGGCAGAGGGGCAGCGCTGCAACAAGGAAGGGCCTCTGCTCTGTGCTGCTGGTGCCTTGACAAGCCCGGGCGCCCCCATGCAGCTGCAAGGGTGCGACTGAGCACCTGGCATGCAGGGGCCACTGTAAAACAATGACAGTGACAAAAACACCAATTACTAACACTTCCCGCATGCCCTCCTGTTCCAGGCTCTGTGCCAACATTGGCACCTGTCCCCAGGTTAAGAGAGCGACTATTAAGCCGAGGACACTGAGGTCAGGGAGGCAGGGAGCGGCTGATATGGGGCCTTGGCTGGACAAGGGCAGAGATCTTCCTGCCACATCCCATCCAAAAGGGGGTTGCTCTGACTCAGCCAACACAGGCACAGAACCTACTCCAACCTATATGGTTTGGCATCTTTGTTATGACTGTGATCCCAACTAATCAGGAGGCTGAGGCAGGAGGATCACTAATTCAAGGCCAGTCTGGGGAATTTAGCAAGACCCTGTCTCTAACATAGAAAGCTGTTGGAGCTCCAGTGATGCAATTCGTTAGCACATGGTACTTATATAAAGTACAAAGCTGTCTCATGGGCCGGGGAAGCAGCACCCATAAAGCCCAGGGTTCAAACCCCAGCGCCACAAACACAACAATTATAGTTACACCTCTTCCCTACCAACACCTCTGGAGGCACCCGCTCCGTACAGCGGGGTCTGGGATCTGCACCCCCAAGTCGCCCTGCCCACTCAGCCTCCCTCACCACCATGAAGGACAGAGGACTCTCGGACCCCCAGCCTGGGCCCCTCCCTCTGCATCCCAGATGTCTGCACAGCAGCAGCACCTGAGACGCTGGTGCGGGTGCCCCAGCCTTGGGTGGGCAGAGACAGCCCAACTACACCTAACAGTGGTGCCTGGGAGCAGGAGCCCCGCCCCTCACACCTGGCCCTGCAGAGGCCAGGCTGACCGGTGACACAGTGACAACGGGCCAGCCAGGACAAGGACAGCAGCCCAGAGCGGGGCCGCGTCCCTCCCGGGAGGCACGTGGTGTGAGACCGGCCAGGCCAAGGGCTCCTGCCCGCACTGCACAAAGCGGCTTTGTCAGCCCCAGGGATCTGGAGGACAGAGGAGGAGAGGCCAGAAGCAGAACCAGCCTGAGCGCGTGGCTCCCTGCCATGCTGCGTCTGGGCAGCCCCGGGGGCCTACACCTGGGCACTCAGGTAGCACACCGATCCCACGCGGCCCAGGTCTGCGTTCTCAGGAAACGCGAGCCCCAGCTCAGCCTGCACGCGGCACAGTCGCCCCACCAGCCTCTCTGGCTGCCGCTGTGTCCGGCCGAGGGGAAACCTGGCAGAGAGACCCTTGTTCCTCACACACAGGGCAGCACAGGCTGAGCCCGTGGGGAGATGCGGCTCCAAAGTCCACGTGGAGAAGGGGCCAGGCCACAGATGGGACTCAGAACTGACGCGGGTGTGGCGGCTGATCTGGGATTTCGCAACACTTCCCATGAAAAATAGGATCAGACCACAAGGAACGAAGTGAGTCAGGGCACTGGCAGCAGGTCCCCAGCCCGGCCACAGTCACGGAAAGTGTCCCTGCTGCCTTGAATCAACGAGGAGTGTGGAGAACACAAAGTCCTGAGCACTCACCACTCAGCCAGGAAACCGGAGCCCAGGACACAGGTGGGCAGGGCATCGCGGCAGGCACAGCAGCCAGCAGGCAGCCTTTCGCTGACCACACCCTGCGCCAGCCCTGCTGGGGAGGAGCAGGCAGGGAGGCTGGGCACGTGGATGGCAGACGGAGGAGTGCATGAAGGGTCACGGGCCCAACCTCATGTGTGACAGTCGTGGGGACTGAGCCAGGCATCCGACCCCAGCCACAGATGTGCTACTGCCCAGTGTCCACCGATCCAAAGGTGCCGTGTCGCTGTGGCAGACTCTGGCAACAGCGTCCAGCAGATCTGAGCCAATACCTGGGCCAAGGACGCGGGGAGACCATCTATCATCCCAGAGCCCTGGGGGACAAGTGTGTCCCAGGCCAGAAAGGCAACTCCCAATTTCCACTTTCAACAGCTCTGAGCTGAAGGAGATAATTGATAAGCTGCTTTTGTGCTACCTTTAAAAAATAATGAACAGAAAGAAGATCTTTCTTTAGGGGGCAGTGGGAGAGGAGCAGAGAGCAAGCCCTAGGCCTGGCAGCAAAGGACAAGGATGGAGGGATTCAAGGGAGGGAGGCTGAAGCAGGGAGGCCTAGGGCCCAGGGGGCGTTGTCCTGCAGCAGTCGAGTTGGAGTGTGGACTGCTTTTATAAACAGATCCAGAGGTGCACAACTTGAATCCCAGCTCCTCAGGAGCCTGAAGCAGGAGACTGAATTCAAGACCAGCCTGGGGCCAGGTGTGGTGGCACACAGCTGTAATCCCAGCACTAGGAAGGCTGAGGCAGGAGGATCACTGCAAGTTTGAAGCCAGGCTAGGCTACATAAAGAGTTTAAAGCCAGTCTAAACTGCATAGTCAGACCCTGTCTCAAAAAAACCAGAAAACCAAACTCAGCAAAAAAAACAGCCTACGCAGTTTAGCAAGGCCTTCTGAAATGAGTTTTAATAGAGTTAGTGGGGATGTAGCTCAGCAGTGGGTTTGGTCTCCAGCACTGAGGAACAGAGGAAGAGGAGGAGAAGGGCTGCAGGGGATCATGAAACATTCCCACTTTTCAGCTCAGAGGTGAAAAGGGCAGTGCCTGAGGTTTTAGATCAAATTCCTCAAAAATAGCCTGAGTTCTCTGTAACTGAGAATCCAAAACTGCTGCCTGTAAGCAAGTCCCAGATCCAGCAGGTTCCTTCTCCAGGAGCTGAGGCTATCTCGGGCTGGCCCAGAAAACCCGGCTCCAAGACAGGCCCAGCAGAGTGAGTCACAGTGCAGACAGAATTTCCTGAAGAGCAGAGGTGAGGGCTCCCTGAAGGCTTAACGTGTACACAGCTGGGTTCCAAAGGTGCCTTGAGCTCCAGCTCCCATGTGCAAACGCAGCAGGACAGCAGGGACAGCGTGGGGTAGCTCTCTTGCCCGGCCCCTGCAAAATAAATAAAGCGAGCACAGCATAAGGACACTGCACCCGCAGGCGCCCAGTCTTCTCTGCCAAATCTCAGCCACGCCCTGCCTCAGCCTCCTGACCACTGACAGTTATTTTAAGCTTGGTTGCCCTTGGGCTTGGTGGCCCATGCCTATCTATAATCATAGCTACCTGGGAGGCTGAGGTGAGAGAGTTCAAGGCCAGCCAGGCCAATTTATAGAGACCCTTCCTCAAAATAAAAATAGAAAAGGCTGGGTAGGTGGCTTAGTGCAAAGGCCCTGGGTTCAATCCCCAGTGCTGCAGAAAAGAAATTTAAAAGGAAAATGCAAGTGAGGGGAGGACAAGGACAAGGGGAAAAATGAGAACCAAGACCTGTCACGTGAAGGTACAAGATCCCAGCGAGGAATGTAACTGTACTGTGTACCTAAAATGTACCAATAAACTCATGAGTAGAAATAAAAAGAAAAGAAAAGGCTGCCAGCCACATCCTGCTTGGCAGTTTCCTGAGTCCCAGCCAGCTTGGAGGCCCCAGGGGACAGGCTCTCACCTGTGTCAGAGACCAGCATATCCTCTCTGGGAGGCCAGGCCCTCAACTTCAACCTCAGTCCTGTGTCACTGAGAGAACAGAAGCCGCAACAGCCAGGGCTACCCATCTTCCTCTACCCGGCCCCCTCCTCCCCAGCAGGCCTGGACCCAGGCAGCACTGAGCTACATCCCAGCCCCTTTTCTATTTTTATTATGAGACAGGGTGTTGCTAAATTCCCAGTCTTGCTACAACTTGCCATCCTCCTGCCTCAGCCTCCCAGAGTTCTGGGATGACTATCTTAGAATGGACTTGAGGCGCCCAAACTAAGCAGGTTAAACAACAGTCTGGGGCCCTCCCACCTCCCAACCCCACAGCCACCATCCGGTCCCAGCTGAGGAGTCACCCCCAGTCTCTCTGGCCCCTGCCCCACCCATGCAGCCCTCAGTTCTGCGTTCAAAGTGTCCCCTCCTCTTCCTGCAGCCGCTGTCCTGTTTGCCTCCCTCGAACATTCCAGAAAGGCGGGGACATGGGCTTGGGCATCATCCTCAGAAGGGCCTGGACATCACAGAAAAGAATTCGATAAACATCTGTGGGGAGAGGAAGTCATACCACGCTGATTCCCACACACCGCTGATTGAATCGGCCATCATTTAAACACAGGTGCCTAGACAAATGAGCAGCATAACCAAGGTCAGGGAACGCTAACTACACAGGGCGGTGAGCTGCTTGTAGGCCTGCCTGTTAATTATGCTCCATCCCTGCACACACCGGACCAAGGTGTTCTTTCAAAACACCTGGTTTACTCGTTAATTCTGCAAATCCTAGATCCTTTCCCACAGCCTACTCCAGAACATCTAAAGTATATTTTTGAAAGAAATGTAAATCACATTTAAAGAAAATACGCATTCTACAGTCCACACCTTGCAGTGGTCTCATTAGAAAGTACAAACTACGAGGCCGGGCGTGGTGGCACACGCCTGTAAGCCCAGCACTGGGAGGCTGAGGCAGGAGGATCACTATGAGTTCGAGACCAGCCTGGACTACACAGTGAGTTCCAGGTCAGTCTCAACTACATAGTGAGACCCTGTCTCAAAATAACAAAACAAAACAAACAAACAAACAAAAAAAATACAAACTACGAATCCCTTAAAGTCTTGGTGGTTTTGGCCTCCTGAAACCATCCAGCCTTCCTGTGTAAGCTCGAGGGAAGGGACATCACTAGAACCTCTCCAGGAAGTCCTAGTCTCTTGTGAGTCACGACAGCACAAGGCGAATTAACTTATTAGACAGAAAAGTCAGAAAAATGAGACTTAGAGAACTTTGGGCCCGATCAGTGATGCTGTGGGGTGCAAAGACAACCCCCCCGAGCTCACCTCACCTTTATTCAGTACCTAAGGAAACACAAATGAAACGGGAGGCTCAGAGGACAGCGGCAGCAATAATCCAGAACAGCGAGGAATTGCACAGATGAAGATTTCGCTCCTCCCAGGATGTTTCAGCTGGTGTAATCTTGTCCTGGAGCACCACCGGGCCATTGGGGTTTTAGCTGTGTCCGAGGGCTCAACATGCCATAGTGGCCCTGCAGGAAGGAAAACTAGGCCTAATCATAATTTAATTGTGAAGTGATTTTTCCCCAAAATTATGTAGCACTGCCCCCGACACTCTCTGACACAGGAAATGGCTTTAGCAGCGAGAATGCCGTGGGAAAGGAAGGCAGCCGCTCTCCCTGGCCGCCAGCCCGCCCTGCTAACGTCCTTCTCTGGCGTGCGTGCAGTGGCTGAAATCTGCCACTTTCCCAGCCCAGCTGCTGTACACGGCTCCCCTCTTTGAAGTTCAGCTCAGCTTCCCGTGGTCTTATCTCACATCAGACACAGCTTGGCAGTGTCAGGGCTGACAGGTAAGTAAACAGCACCAGCCTGTCCCTCAGAGTCCTCCCCGTGGGGAGGTGGGAGCAGTTACAGCGATTATTTGGGGGCTTGTATTCCCACAACCACACAACAGGAAGAGCTGTAGTTGAGGTGTGTGTATTCTCAGGTGCACACACACACAGGCAACTCCACAGAAGGGACAGCGGTGCGAGGTCACAGGTGGACGGCACAGGAAGCACCGTTCCATGATCACAAACCAGAGCTCCCACGGGAGGACCTCCTGGCACTGGGAGAGTAACTCTCCTAGCTGGCGCCTCCACAAAAGCACAGACCTTCACCACCAATCGTCTGGAGGCCCATGCTGCTGCCCAGGAGCACAGCCTGGCCTGCCGAGAGGTGGCGTGGCCAGGCGGTGTGCACCACGTTCCTGTCTTCTGCCAAGCTGCACCTCTCCGTCCTTTCTCTACAGGAAGAAAGCAAAATTTGTGAGTAGCAGCCTTGCTCATGACAGCCTGGGGCTCCCGGGGGGGGGGTCAAAGGGACAAATAATAATGCAGGAACCTGGGCCTGCTCCACCACTCCACTGGGCTCAGGAGGCAGAAGCACTTCCAGGTCACTTGCACCTGCAGAAGCACTTCTGGGTCACTCGCACCTGCACTGGAGGACCTAGGAGGACTTTGGCCCAGCCAGCACTTCAGCATCCTGTAGCTGTGGGCCGAGGACAGAACCGCTGGCACCTGGTGCCAGGTTGGGGTGAGGCTGGAGGTCCCATAGCTCAAAAGTGAGTTCTCAGTAGCCACACTTGACATTTGGGCCAGAGAGCTCTTCCTTGTGGGAGGCTGCGCTGGCCCTAGAGTGGCCCCCTTCCCTGTGCCTCGAGACGCCAGGAGGACCCCAGCAGTGACAGCCTGTGCTATCCCCTGGGAGGGGCAATACCTAGATGAGGACAGTGCTCCAGAGGACAAAGCAGGGACAAAGGACAGGGAGCACCCAGGGTGAAGTGGATGCAGGGGAATCCAGGTGGGCAGTGCGAACCAGGGATGAAGACAGGCCCGTGGTCAAAGAACCAAGATGACCCTGCCTGGCCCCTTCTGCCTTTCTGGAAATAGAGATCCTCAGTCCAGTCTATATCTGGTCTGCACCCTTGAGAAGAAGACCCAGGGCCTCCTATAGTTCTCAAACAGCTTGTAACTGGATGTCCCTGCTCATAGGTGAGGTTTGTGGGAGGTGGCTGGATCTAGGTGTGTGAAAATGGGATTAAGGGTATGGTACTGGATTGATCCATCAATTGGTTTAGCATAGTTATGGACATGGATAACAGGAAGCCCTACCTGGGTGTGGATGGCACCACCCAAAAGGCTTATAGTCTGGGTGGGATAAAAGGAAAGGCAGGCTGGCTGCTTGCTGCCTTCAGCCTGCCCTGCCATGGACTGTTTCTCTTCTGTCACACTGCCCCTGCTTTGGAGCCTGCCAACTATGGGCTGAAGCCTCTGCAAACTGTGAGCTGAAATAAACCTTTCCTCCTTTAACTCCTGGATATTGGGTATTTTGACCCAGAAATAAGAAAAGTAACTGAGACAAGTGGCTTGCACTTTTCAACAAAGAGCTTTTCAACAAAGAGATAAACTAATTTTCAACCAACAGAGGCAATGCAATCTTTTACTGATAACTGCATAACCTACACTTGCCTGGGCCACACCAGGCCAGGAGGAATGAAGGGGGGTGCATTTTGAGTAACACAGATGTTATTAGTTCTTTCCCATGCCGGCTGCAGTAGGGCCCTGGCTTCCTGCACCCCCACTGTATATATACACATAAACACATGTATGTGCATGTGCACACAGAATGCATCCTCATGTGCACAATATTTGTGTACACACATACAGGTGCACGGAAATGCACACATGCACACACCCATGCAGGTGGGTACATATGAACACAGCACATGGGTACATATGAACGTGCAACATGACTGCATCCATAGCACATGTGTGTGCACGTGTGACGGCACACACAACACATGTGCTCGTGCACACCTACAACAGTTTGCACCGTGCATGTGTACACGTGTGTGCACACGCACACTGGTGCATTATACATGCGTGCACATGTGCACACACAAGGGCACGCATAACGTAAGTACTGCCTGCACACGTGTGTGCATACACACAAGCACATGCATAGCACTGTGCACACGTGCAGGTGTGTGAGCGCAGAGGTGTACGTGTGCACACATGAGTGCATGCATAGCACATGTGTGCCACACGTGCACAGCTGCATGCACCTGTAAATGACACTGTAAAGCCCCATAAGTGCAGGTGTGAATATATTGTACGTAACACACCGAATACACACACTTATGTATACCTGCATTGCACTTGCACAGACATGCATGCGTGTGTGTGCACATGTGTAGCATGCACTTAAACTATATACCTGTGCACACATATGCATGCAAGTATATATACACTGCTGTGCACCTGCACACGAGTTGTGCACACTAAATTCTGCAAATCCATCCTCAGACAGCTGCCCGTGTCCTCCTAAACAGCCCCAACCTGCTCCCACGAGGCCTGCCTTGCTTTCTTCCAGAGTCCCCTCCCCACGATCACCTCATCCCATGGCTCACCGAGTGACCTGAAGCCCCCTCTGCCCTCCAGGCCCGTCAGCCGCCTGTCAGGAGTCCAGGAGGGCCACTCTGGTGCAATGTACATCGGGCCAACCCACCTGGTGTTTCTGGTCCCCAGTACCCCAGAGATGCCTGTTTGCCACACTCAGGGAGGCGAACGCCTCTGGCTTGGTGTGTCTCCCAGCCCCACCGCCTCGCAGAGACCACAGGAGCCCTCTCACCCAGGACCCCGCATGAGACCTGGGCCAGCCCTACCCCTTAGGCAGCAGAGGCTTGGGAGTGGCCAGGCCTTTTCCCCTGAGTTCTGCCCACCCTAAACCTCCCTCCCTCCACAACCTTGGCTTCAGGGGCAGCCCCAGCCCGAGGTGCCTGAGGCCCAGCGGAGGCTCCAGCAGGCTGAGATTGCCCACTGCCCAGTGCTACCCACCACCCACACCGCACCTGGGGCCTCGGCCCTTTCGCCTCCACTGACCCTGCTATGGGAAGGAGTGGGGGGCACACCCACCCCCCACGCTCCTCCGGGCACGCGGTGACTGACATTTCCTGGAGCCCAGGCCACGCCGAGCCCTCTCCTGAGCCCTGCACACAGGTCTCTCCCCTGATCCCAGGACAGTCCACGCAAATGTCGTCGATGGCAAGACTGAGGGACGGAGACGAGTGAACCCGCCCAAGGCCAGGTGGCCAAGAAGGAGCAGGAGGATGACCCAGGGCTGTGCCTGTCCCCCTAGGCACAGCGGAGCAGCCCCGCTCCACTCAGGGCGGTCAGGAGTCCGGAGGAAGGTGAGGGGTCCGGCCCGCTGCCACGCCTCCCCTTCCCCATGGGGCCCAGGAGGCTGCTCCACAGCTGTGCTGGGCCCCAGGGCCAGCTCATGAGCCCAGCGACCCCCACCACCGGCCCCTGCAAGGTTGCCTGCATGCCTGGAGACGACTGTGGCGCCTCAGATGGGCAAGAGTCGCGGAGATGGATGTCTGACTGCGCTCCAGAAAGCTCCGCTGACAGCAGGGTCCCCACACGTTCAGGACAGGCGCGTCCCTTGGGGTGCTGGGCTGGCTGCAGCCTGCGTGTGGTGGGCCTGTGTCGCGAGCACCGATTTGCGTTTCGGGATCACGGGTCAGCGCATCAATGATTGTCAATTCAGTTTCGTTTTCATAAATGCTTTTACTCTCATTAACAATACAGAAACAAGCCCACACAAAGGATACAACTACAATTGCCAGCGCAATATAGAAATAATGCCAGCCCATAATATCTCTAGGCAAATCATAAGTCCTAGCATGCTGTAGGTGGGGGCATACGACCTGGTGAGTGTAGTCTGGTCCTCGGCTTCGCAGGGTCGAGCCGCGACTTTCGATGTCAATGACGGTCTCGGGTTGGTTTCGTTCTCTCGTCTAGGAAACCAGGATCCTCGGCTCAGCAGTCAGGATCTGGAACAGAGTGTCTGCGTCTCGGGCAGAGCTTCAGCAGGTCATCTTGACGGGGTCGTCAAGCGACGTCATCTGTCTGTAGTCTTCTCCTTTTATACCTTAAATCATCTCTAATCTAATACATCCATATGTTCTATCTAAGTTAACTCCTCAACACTCTCCATTACCTCACTTCAAACTCTTAATCATATGTCACAGCAATCACGTGTCACAGCAGATGGTCGGGGGGAATTCCACACATGTCACAGCAAACTCTTATCTGTCCTAACACTCAGCTCCCAGGCTGTCAGCTGTCAAGCTGTCAGCTGTCAAGTTTCACTCAGTTTCACTCTAGTTTTATTTTGCTTAATTCTGCTTTTTGTGGGGTCACAAAGTCCTATGTTTTACATGTTCACTACATTCCACCCCCTGACACCTGAAATGGGGTCAACATAAAAGGTGTCACTCATGGTCCGCAAGACAGGGGTTTACAAAGTCATAGCGTCGAAATCCTGTGGAAGCAGTTACACACATAATATGTCGATGTAACCCTTTTTGTATATTTAAGTTTTTCATTCTTCTATATTTTCTATTTAATTCATACCAAGTTGTATAAGCTGAATATTCAAAAAGCAATCCTTGCAAAACTGGCTTTAGTAATGTTCTAACACACCATGATTGTAAAGATCCTGGAATGTAAAGCGATTCTTGTGAGTTTCTACAATACCAGTCACCTTCCAGAAGTTGGTGAGCTTCTTCTGGTCGATGTCTGATTAAATTCTTGCATAGCATATAATTTGGATATGTTCCCTTGCATATGAAGCAAGAGACTAAGCTTGCAAGTATATGTAAGAATCTTTCAATCGGGTGTGATTCTATCCACTTTTCTTCATGTGTCATAAAGTGTTGCAATAGAAGCAATAATCTATCATCCTTATTTATGCCAGATAAAAAGCGGCTAGAAAATCTATTTATGCAAAAATGACAATCAAACATATTTCTGAACTCTCTTGGTAACAATCCCATATTATATAGTAAATCATGAAGCGCATGACAATGTAATTTATAATAGTATCCTAATACGACTTTTGGTCCATTTGGTTGCATGAGATCACATTTTCTTCCCGAGGGATTTCCACTTCTTCTTGATCTTCGCATGCTTTCGTTTTCTGAAGATTCTGTGTGTTAATCTGAGAAAGACGACTAAGAGAAACACCATGGATACAACATATAATGCTTCTTTGAAATATTCCCACCAATGAACTAAAGGTGTACAAGTGAAGTCTAACTGTATTAATCTAGCAAAGAAATCAAAGAATGAACATTTCTTCATATCCTGATTCCATGACTTGAGAATGACTGTATTTGTCCGTATCAATCCTACTAGTTGATGTATCTCCTGGTTTGATCTAGTTAAAGTGTGTTGTGCATTCATAATCTTTTTGTGTATGGAATCTAATTGTTTTTGGTTATGTTCTGATATCTTTTGTATCTCCAGATTTTTCTTTATGAATTCCTTATAGTGTTCTTGTTCTAGGTCTTCTAAGAATAATTTGGGTGTACTATATAAGTGTGTGGATTGTATGGAAATCTGTGTTATCCAAGTC